CTGAGGTTCTCATCCTGGTCTTTGCCTGAGCTGTGCCATTGCTGTGCACCCCATTGATCCCAATGCTGGCCAGCTTCCCAGCTCGACTTCAGTCTTGCCTCACCGCTATAGACAGGCCTGGCAATCACTGATCCTGGTCACTGCATCCAGATCCAATCCTGACCCCAGCTCTACTTATGAACTTGACTTTGAACTTACCCTGTCACTGCAGATTTCCTTGGTGGTCTGGCCCCTAGGCTGAACCTGATCACTCTTATTGGCAGTGTCTGCCTTGCTTGGGGTACAGTGGGACTGGTCCCTTGCTGGTGAAGCTACTGCTACTGTTGCCTTATCATGCTCAGTAGCTGGTCTCCTTTCCCTGAGGGAACAGTTCCACCCTCTGACACATAGCTACAGCAGCTGAAGCTAGCAGTAAGTATTTGCTGGGAAATAAAATCCAATGTTTGAGCTTTTAAAAGTTCCTCATTTTTAGGGACTGAAATGCTCAAGGTTGCTTTGAAGTTGTGTAAACTACACTACTGGCTGCAAGCTTCCCCTAACCTGGTGGTAGCCACTTCCAGATGTGATACCAGAGTTGACAGTCACTCAGTCTAAAATATCAGGCCACAGTAATATGGATCTCATGCATTGACACTAGCAGTTCTGCTGACGTGTATTTTTCTTGACATCTTTGTCATTGCTCATTGCTTAGCATCAAATTAGCTAACTAGGGTTTAGTAAATTAGTAATCGTAATGCACAAAGAGGAATAGTGTGTTGGTCCAAATACAAAGGAGGCAATCATCAATTTTAAAGTGTCAGAATGAAAAAAAATCAAAGCATACAGTAAATATGAACTAAAGGCCAAACTCCCACAAATTCCATGTGCAGTGCCAAGCACGGATCAACATGTCTCCTCCTGTAACTCCACACACACCACCCTTTAAATCCCAGTCTTTCTCCTTGCTGCCTCCACTGTTCACTTCTCCAATGGGTCACTTGACAGGCATGCTGCTCTCCTGCTGTCAATCTACAAAGTGTTACAGGGGCTTTTGCCACCCTCCCTTGAGGCACTGGCATGCTGGAGCCATAAGAGTTTAGGATTTTAAATATCAGCATCACCACCTCCAACAGGCCACACTTGGATTAGCTTGCAAATTGCCCTGCAGCTGCAGCACATCTGCAGCCCCAGCACATCTGCAGCCACAAACAGAGCCTTCATGGTGTGGCACCAGGCAGCAAAAGCACCATGTCACCTAGAAACTCAGCACCAGGGAGTCTTTGTGCATAGGGATAAATTCTGTACCCCACTGAATCTAGTTCTCGCTCTGTATTTCCACTAATGTAGAAGTCTGAAGTATGGTATAACTGAATTATGCGTACTTGACAAAGTTAAACAAGAGTTAACAATCAGTAAAATGTCTGCATGAAAACAGAGGAAGGGGTGTACTCTGTAAGTGCTTTCACATATTTGTTTTTCATAAAAGTAACCTACTGGTTTCAAAATACAAACATCCCAACAGCAGTTTTTCCTCTATAGCGTTGCATCTTAGAAGTAGCTTTGCTAGATATGAGTGAGTTAAAACCCAGAACTCAAAAGGAAAAGAGATTTGAGACACCACATATCACTTCCTTCTCCAGGCATGACTTTTTTATAGAAAATAAAAACCAAAAATTTTTATTGACTGTACTGCAGATACCTGTACATAGTGTAAACTTTAATATTTCACCAGATATGTGAATAATTCTGGAGAAAGAGTTATCAAGCACCTTCATTTCAACATATTTTTGATATTTACAGTAAGACATACCTGATTAAGTGGATGAATAAAATGAATTAAAAGTTATAAAAAGTTATTTTAAAAGTCTTTAAAATGTTTATATAGATTGTTATTTTATGAAAAATATAAAATTAGAAAGGAAGATGTCACACAACTAAGACTCAGAATTGGCTCTGTTTAAAACTGCTACTATAGTGTCTGAAGGGGGAGTGAGGAAATGGCCAGGTTGGATTACTGCTGTGATCACTACGTTGTGAAACGTGTTCTGGCAGACGGCTCACAAGCCCTGTTTTTTTCTGCTGCTGCAGGCTGGCTTGCAGGTAAGCTTCTTTCCAACACAGTGTGGAAGTCAAACTTCTCTTCCAGATTTTTACAGCTAATTCGACATCAGAATATGCATTTGGATTTTCCCTCCCCACTAGAAAGTTATTTGTAACGATGAAAACCTCAACTTTGCTTCTATTTTCAGCACACCTTTTTGCTGTTACTGAACATTGGTACACATATGGTACATCACCATCTCTTTTCTTTTAAGCACTAAGACACAGATGACCTTTCCGAAAATCAGATGTTTAACTGCCACTGTTATGCTCTACAGAAAGGCATGGCATGGTTTGCTAAGGAAGAAAGATGACTAGGATAGGATTCAAATATCACTTTTACACTTACAGAACCAAACAAATATTATTTTAAAAGCTCTCAGGAAACAAATGTGACTGTGTGTCCCTTTAAAAACAGACTCCTTCAAATGAATCAACATCTACTCTTTGATGAACTAACAGCAGCTGAGACCTAGATCTAAAGTTTGTTTAGTGGATTTTAAGCAACTACTCAGGAATCCACCTCAGACAGAAAAAAAATAAATCTCTTAAAATCCAACAAAAATTTCAAATACATCCACCAAGCAGTCCTGATTTTATATAAAGAATTATGTGCTGTGGAAGGATCACATGACCCAGGGTGAGAACTACCTTCACAGCACATGCATAAGCATTTCCCTAATCTCAAAAGTTGAGATTCAAGTTTTGGAAGTGGAAGGACTGCTAGTGGGAAGGCAGTTAGGCATTAAACCTGTCATATTACTGAGTGTTCCCACCAACATCTACTCACCCTTGGGATCCCTTGGTTATTTCTCAGCTAGAGATACGGTCCAGCTGCATAACTGGCTAAGCATGCCCTAGGCAGGTGACTACTGCATGCTCTGAGGTACAGCCCACTCTCAGGATTTGAGTTGTGCCATTTGCCTCACTCTGTCCATTATTTGTTACTTTAATTTGGCCAAGAGATGTTTCCTCATAGCTCAGCACAGGTGCACTTAAGGCCTCCACTTTTACCTTTACAAGGAGATAATGCTACAAGGAACAAGATGCAGTCAGACCCAACCTGGGCAGCTCTGTCTTGCCTAACTGCTACAAAACAATCATCGCTTGTGCGTGTGTCTGTGTATGTGCATTGTGGCTTGCTGTCAGCAGCATGGAGCACTTATCTTTAGGGCCTGATCGTGTTGATAGGAGTGAATTGTTTACAGCACATTTCCAAAAGTTGTCTGCTGCTCTAAAGCTTATTTTAATGTTCATTTTCTTTCTATACAATCCACTCCAACTGTGTTGTCAGGACAGCGGCAAGAACGGCCTCCCGGGGTAGCCAAGCAGAGGTGAGTACAGCCACCATTGTTCACTGTACAGTAGTTATGCCCTGCAAAAGGAAAGAGAGGTGTAAAACTTTAACCAAATACAAGAGCAAAACCACAAAAAACACCCACGTAGATACAAAATAATGCAGATTTCACGAGAAAAAAAGAGAATGAAACAAGCTATAATAGTGAAACAGAAGTGTTTTGGGGAGATGGGAGTCATCATATCCCTTCCGTCAGCCTCTGATATTCACCTCAAAGAAAGGTCCAAATATCAGGACAGAGCAGGAGAGGCAACATGAAAAAAACTGGGCTGTTCCTGAAATGCCTTTCCTAAATTGGCCGTGTGGTCGAAGACATTGGCATGAAGAGACAGTGAGCAAGGAAATACAGGGAGTGCAACATGGGAGGGGACAAAGTCCAAAATGCTCCAGAACATTATTCCTGGATACCACCCACCACAAAAACAGAGGAATGACCGATGAAAACAAGAAAAAAATCAGGTGGGTGGGGAGGAGTGGGCTAATGTTGGAGGTTAAATTGAAAGAGAGGACAGTGCCAGGAGCAGTGGATCTGAAGGGAAAGGTGTCTGATAAAGAAAAACACTTGAAATAGACATATGATGAGAAAGAAATGCTACCAAGGTTCTGAATATTACAAACACAAGCATTTACTCAGAGTACACAGTGTTGTTTTGTTTTACGCTGCCTACCAAAATGGAACTGCAGATTAACTAGTAATAATAATGTAACCGATTTCTTAATTATGACATTTATATACATTTTTATGTTCTGAACCAAGCTTTCAGTTAAATTAAATTATATTTTTAACCATATATGTTGTATAATTTGAAGAGAAACTACCTTAGGATGTTTTTAAGCCTAAAGTGAAAACACCGGAACTCTTATCATTCCAGCCACGTTGTAACAACAAAAAGATATATTCTTCTCCTAGCCATATAATTCGCTAAGAACAACATAACTGATCAGTGATATTGTTTCCCAGGGAATAAATTGTTATTTCAAGGGTATCAGCTTCCTCTCTTCACAAAGGTCTTTTCAATAATGTATTGTATCGAGTCTGGCTGAGCTGATTTTCCCATTGCAGCCCTCATGGTGCTGTGCAAACGCTGCTCAGCGGTAGTCACAACATGGGTGTTATCAACACCCTTCTAACTCCCAACACAAAGGCTCTGCACCTATCTATCTGAAAAACTCAGCATTCAATGGAGAGGAAAGTTCAGCCCTGTCACTCTACTATCTGCTGTTTTCTGAACACTCCCTTTTTAAAAATACTGGATTTCACTAAGGACATTTGGAAGACCATGATATTTCTGTATTTTAAACTTAAAAGTATGTAAATAAGGCCCTAGCTGTGAATATATAGTGTTCAGTTTCAATGATGACAACATAGCAGCTTCTGCCATGTCAGATCCTCATCCTGATCACACACTTGTCCTTTGATAAAGGATAAGACAGGCCCCTTCTTCCTTCCCTATTCTGGTTTCATATGGCAACCACAACAAGAGCTTTTACGAAAAAAAATATTAAAAAAAAGCAGCTTTTAATTTCTTATTAAACAAAAATCTAAGCACTAGCCCATTCTTCACTAACTACCTACATCAGCTGTCAGCCTGTCACCGGGAGCTGCTACTAAGTTCATTCATATGGTGAGGTGCTGCACAGCTGTAAAGCCTTGGGGGCTGTCTGGATTACCTCCTGGGCACTGAGCAAAGGCTGTAGTGATCCCATAGAGACGGGAGCGCTTGTGAGGCTGGAAGTTGTCCTTTTCTACCGAAATCGTGCGATCCACTGCTACAACAGCATCCCTGCAGTATGCAGAAGAGAATATACAGAAGTGAGATGAGGGTGGAAGTACAGGGGAAAACAAAAGCAAACAAAAAAAAAAAAAAGGGAACAACTCTGAAGTTGCTTATTTTTTACCATTAGAAAGTGGCACCAGAAGCAAAATCCTCCAAGACCTCATCTGTCCTGGACAACTCAAATATTTAATAATCTTCATCCCAGGTAGCTAAGAAATTTAGCATGGAGCCACCTTACTAATTTTGAAGGTACTTCCAACACAGGTCAATGTCCCTCTACAGGAACACATCTGTTAGTAGTTTTGACACATTCTTCACTGACACATTGCCCCTCTGACATGCTCTGTTGTATAGCTGACTTTGCAGCTGTTATGCATAATGATTATGGACAATGTTGTATTTCAAGTGAAGCCTGATATCCCAAAGACATATAGCTATCCATAAGCAATCTTTTCTTCCTAAAAATAAAAGGGCATTCAACTGACAGACCTGTAACACTGTTTCCCATTTATACAAGCCTATTGTAGAAGAGCATTTTTCAGCTGTTAGGTTCTAGCTTGGCAAACCTTACAAATCTTAATAGCTCTTCCTGCTGCACTTGGAGTCACTTGTGTAAGAGTTTGCAGATAGAGCCCACACAACCATTTATGTCAAGGAAAAATACATACTTGAAAATGCATGGACTGGATTTTTCGCTGGAAAATAATACACTCTAAAGTCATGATCATGTCAATGTTTTAGATCATTTGCAACAAAGAAAGCATCATCAAGACAGTAAAAATATTTTTTTTCTTATTTCTGGTTGAAATATAGATAACATAGGGCATAGAAAGGCAAGAGTGACTAATTTCTGCCCCCTACAATACAGCAAGTACAGCCACAAGGGAAACATGTTAGCTCCCACTCCTTTCCCAGAGATGTTCAGTGTTTCAAAGCATATTTTTAGAGGATAAATCACTATGCTGAAAATGAAAACTCAGTTAACTGGCAACATCAATAGGTCAACTCTAGACATCCACTCTGCCCTGCATCAGCTATTGTCAGGAAAACAAAAACAAAACCAGGAATGTGTGAGAGGTCAAGCACGAGAAATGCAGTATAGGCTTCGGTTTCTACCAGGGTGAGGAACAGATTAAAGCAGTCCGCAATGTCTCTAGCAGATAACATACCTTCTCCAGTCTGTGTAGTATAAATTCTTCCCATAGCTTGTGACACTAAAAGGGTACTGAATTCCTTCAACAATCTTCCGTCGACCCAGGTGATTAGGGTTCATGCATTCCAGCCTCTTGGTACCTGGGCGTAGTGAAACAATTAAGCGTTTGAAACAGAACAAGAGAGCTCTCTCGAGGAACGAAGGGCAAACGTAAGCACTCGAGCATGAACAGACTAAAGCTTCCTGGAAGTCTTTCAGTATGCTGCTTGGCCAAAGCCCTTCCTGTGCCACATCTCTACATGTGCCAAAGACTGGATGGAAAAGTATCTTGGTGCTAATGCTCATCAGCATATCACTTAGCTTACAGGAACACAGACGTCTAGTGCAGCCATGGCCATTGCTTACAGACACCTGCTACAGATACCAGCACCCTCAGGCTGGTACGGAAGCTGACAGAAAGTCTCCTCCATTCTGAAGGATACTTAAACCACCAACCAGTTCCACCTCCTCTGGAAAGCATTTTTGTAAAGTCAGTTTGGTAAGCATGTTCCCAAAATGCTTGGTGGGTTTGGCCACAAAGGCAAGACTGCAGTAAGAACATCTAACTTGTCGGTACAAACCAAGTGTAAAAAGGTCTGGCTGTAAAGCTACTATACAGGTAGGAACAGTGCTAGTGAATGTAAACACCTGTGGGTTTCTCTTAAGTAGTAGGTTTCAAAATAAGGGAAAAAGGAAAAGAGACAAATGTGAAAAGAAGAGAGGACGTGTGAAAAAGAGAAGAAAGATAGCATAACATTTGAAGGTTTGAGAAAGTGTCTTCCAGTGAGAAAGAGAGCTCAATCTTTTTAGTTTATCAAAAACTTGAGAGGTGACTTGAAGAGCAAAAGCACCTCCATAGGAGATCTCTGGAAGAGTCTATATGCAGAAAGACAAAGAAAAAAAATTCAAACGAGAGTTAAAAGCACACTGGTAAGACACTGGCTTAAAAGTAACAATGGATTTGTGGCAGAACCTTTATCTCTTGATCTTTAAATCTAGTGAGAAGTGCTTTTTCAGGCCTTGCTTCAGACAAATACAATCCAGATTTTGCCTAAGGCTACAGGTCTTAGAGCAACCGTGCCAAGACAATATTCAGTAGGGCCAGATTAGATGCACCACTGTTTTTTCCTGGTCTTAAACTCACTACTTCTTCTACAAAGGCCTAAGCACTGCCAAAAGAGATAGCCACACAGATACAAACTTGATGCATTCCCAGAAAGTTTTGTTATAAAAATTGAAATCCTTCAGCTTGCACACAGTCTCACATGAATACTACAGTGGTAGTAATGATTAATAAACTGAGAATTTCTGACTGGCTATAGTTATCCTACTACTATTACGATAAAAGATTTTACCGTGTCTTTACCTGCATCTACCCAGCACAGCATTGATGTATAAGGATCAAAAGTCAGCCCATTTGGTAACCCGAGATCATCTTTAATAAGGATTCTTCTGTTTGTGCCATCCATGTATGAGGTTTCAATTTTAGGAGCTTCTCTGTTCCAGTCAGTCCAGTACAAGTTTCTTAAGAGTAAGAAAAAGGCAAGAATTAAGACAATGATTGATCTCAAAAGACTGATGGAATTAAGGAAATGCTAAGGACACATAACTAACATGTACACACCCAAAGTAATTTAAATAAGTGATAAATTAAAGAACTACTAAATAAATTAAAAATAAATAAGAAGGACCATATTGCACTTGGACATAGAAGTAACAGAAGCATAGTAAAGATGTAGCAAACATTACACTTCCATTAAAACCAAAAAGAGAAAGCATACACATGAGAAGAAATGACTCTGTTTAGGTTATGTGCAAGATGGCAGCCAAAGAATCTCCATTTCAACAGTTCTGAGGACCATTCAAAATGTACATCTACAGCTCTTCTCATTACCCATCACGTCTGCTCAGGCTAAGCAGCAGGAGCATTTGGCATGCGTTTGTAGGATTAATTAGAAACTTACTTTTTCCTTTTCAGTGCACCAAGTAAGCAATATACAGTGGAATCAGGGTAGTTTATGGTCAGGGGAAGAACCCCAAAGAGAAACATTAATTCACTGATGCTTTATTAATAATAGCCATTTGTTACTGGAGGTTTTTTTTCCCCTTGGATGCACTTTCTGTGGCTGAAAATTTACATGGTCCTTCAATGCAAGCACTGTTGTTGTTTAGCCCTTAACATACACACACACCATGTACTAGGATACAGAAGTCTGTGTTGCTTGACCTGAACTCAGAGTTCTACTCTGTTCATGGAGTTCTGCATGGAACAGAGGTCTCTCCTCAATCTGATCACACTTGTGCCTTTCCCCTTCTCTCTTACCACAAATTGCATTCACTTTTTCTTATTACTCTGTCACTTGATGTACATCCACAGATGTTTACAGCCCATTATTATGTAACATTTTATTCTATGCTAAAGCAATTAGAGAAGCCTGGCAAAGTTGATGCCCTAACACTGGAAGTGTTCAAGACTAGGTTGGGTGGGCCTTTGAGCAACATGGTCTAGTCGGAGGTATCCCTGCCCATGGCAGCAGGGATTATTTTAAGATTTTAAGGTTTTTTAAGATTATTTTTAAGGCCCATTCCAACTCACACCGTTCTATGATTCTAAGTTAATACCTTTACTTTCTTATTTATTTGTCACTCGTTTTCATGGACACCATGCATTTTTTTTGTCACTACAAACCTTGCTTGCAAACATCTGGAATGAAGATGTATCTTCCAAAAAAAACTCTCCTTGAGTGATATAGTACTTTTTTTCATAAATTAATTCTCACATAAGAGCATTCCAAATGCCTATTTTATCAATTCAGCAATCATTTAGTACAGCTTCCCAGCAATTCAATACTGAAAAGAAAGCCTCTTTGCTTCTGTGCTTTTGAATATTTTGACTGAAATGCCTCTTCTCAGCAGCAGCCATGCTACAAAAAGTGGCACCAGGGAAACAGCAGGGAAGTTCAGACATGAATGAGCAGATGTGCTGTAGTACCATGCACTCTCTAGTACTTTTAATTTTCCTTGTATTTCTTGTAAATATTTAGAGAGAAATTGTTAACAGATCAAAGACTACATAAAAGTATGGAGACAATTCTATTGTTGCAGGCTGGAATGATACCTTGAAAACATTTACACTTTCCTACTTACACTCTGCTAGGCTATTTCTGTGAATGAAGCTTATAGGCTCACTTTTTAAAGTACATAATTGTGGGCATCTTCATATAGAAGCCTAATAGGACCTTCTCAGGCAACAGTATGATAAAAGTGAAAATTATGACAGAAGAGGCACCGTAGGGGCTTTCAGAGAAGGAACACAGTACAGGAAGAAGGACTGTCATGATGGAAATTCAAACATAAGGTTGCTTAATCTACTGTTTTAGACCAGTAATCTGGCAAAAAAAAAAAAATTCCAGGTAAGGTCAGTGCTGGTCATCTTGCAAACAATGTACTGAAAATAAAGTAAAAATAAGTATTTGACAAACCTCTCAACAAAATATCACAGTATTACCTAGCAGGCATTTTAGAATTTTTATTTCAAACACAGGACACAAGTAGATTGTTCCTTTTCTGTTTGCTAGTTGTTTTAGGAAAAGGTAGCTCTGTTATTGTCTACAGACAGCCTAGAAACATGGATTCAGAGTATATGCTCATGTTAAATAAATAAAACCAAGCTCTGCACAGAATTCTTGACAACATCTCCATACCCTCTTATAGGATCCACAACAATTGCTCTGGGGTTCACCAGGCCAGTGTCAAAAAGGATGCGCCGCTGCCGCCCATCCAGCCTAGCCACTTCTATTCTGTCCAGCTGAGAGTCAGTCCAGAAGATGTTACGACCTAGGTGATCTACAGCAATCCCTTCAGGGCTTCCCAAGTCTGCAGAAGAACAGAGTAAAACATGTCTAGGCATTATATTTATTCCCAATACACAATGTCAGCCTTGAAAACAACTAACTGAGAGAAGTTTTCTTCAGTTTTCTGGCTGTGGTTCAACGAAACCTAATTCATGTCAGTTGGAAGAGGAATACACATTTTGCCTTATCAAGTTTAAATACACAGAACCTTCATAAATACACAGAATGACAAATTCTACAAGGAACCAACTCATGCATGTAAACTTTCCTTGGTGGATGGACACAGAAAAAGAGTTGATAGCATAGAAACAAACAGTAGAGATTATCTTATTGTACCTTCCTTAGCAGGCCAAGATCTAGAACAGATTTTATAATGCTTAGTATTTCCTCTTCCTTGGTACTGGCATACATGGAGCCCCTCTGAAAACTGGACTTATGCTCCATTTAGCCAATGCAATAATTAAAGATAAACAAGCTCCAAAGCACTAGAGATAATGATAGTAGTTAACTGATGGAATTTAGATTCAGTTCTTGGGGTTTTTTTTTGTTGTTGTTTGGGTTTTTTTGTTTGGTTTTTTTTTTTTTTTGGCAGAGCAAACCTTTTTGGAACATGTTTTAGTACTGTATGTACACAGTTTTTCTTGGACAGTTAGTTGTTCCAAAAACAACAGGAAATAGCAAATAATGACCTTACTGCTTTAGCATTAGTAGCTTCTAACTCAGATGAAGGATGCAGAATAAATACATAACACTCTAAGGTTCAATTCAGCCACTATGAAAAACTTCTCTATACTTTTCAAGGTTCATTCCTCAGTTAAAATAGAGCAGGCAGGCTGTGTGGGATATAGTGAAGCAAAAAACAGGTACAAATCAATTTTAGTCCAATTTAAATTCCAAAAGAAAAAGAATTGCACATGGTCACTCCCAAAAAGAGGTGAAGTGACCCTTCATACCAGCCAGCTATTGAATAACATATGCTTCAGACTCTCACATGTTCTTACTTATTTTCTTGATAATAGCAGAGACTGCTGACAGTGGCCTTGTTCTGAGGTGATGGTGGTGACAATCCCCACTCTCTGGGACTGACTAAATGGTGGTGAAGGAGCTCCCAGCCTCTTTTTAGGAAACAGAAGAAGGTATTAGGCAAAAGATCTGCTGCCACTGATTCCCAGGAGTCCCTCTTCCCTGATTAGTTTCCTTGCTTCAGCTACATGTCAGGACATTTAAAGAAGCCTGAAGTAAATGCCTTTCCTGTCTTGTTGACAATGAGCCAGAAAAAAAAGCTATTCCCCATGGTGGGTAAGTAAATATATAGGCTTCATGTATCACCAGTATTTCCAGAGGCACAAGTGTGTTCCTGCTTTATTGTCACAGGCCTGACAGAGTCACAGGCTCTGTCCCTGGGAACAGGCTTGTACAGATGTATATGGCTAGTACAACTTAAGCACGAAAAACAAAGAGGAAAGCTCTTCTTCCTGATCTGCCTCCACAGCTGCAGAGCTCAGAAAGCCTCCACAGGCTATACAGCTGCAGGGAGAGAGAGCTGGATGGGGCTCTACAATAAAACATGTTGTGCAAAGCAATGCAACTTGGATCACAAGAGCTTTAACAAACAAAGTAGTGCATTCCACAAAAATACATGTGAACTGAGGAAAGCAGCTGCAGCTCATAGGAGGAAAAAGACAAAGACTGAAACAAAACAAAGAATTCTCATGAGTCTTCTGAGAGGGAAGCCTTTTCCCATTTCTTGAAATTTTAAATTTTCAGTCTTGGCCAGCATAGAAGACATCCATTCAAATATTGTTATATTCAAACTTATTTTGTTCTGACTCCTTATTGAGGAGCCCACTAACATCCTGAAGGTGAAGTGCAACATGTCTTCAGGGATGGCATTCATTTCCTATGCAAACAACAGAAATCATAAGACATTTTTACACATACAGGTTTTTTTTTTTTTAGCAGGTAAAACCCATGAGGTTTCCATGTGGCATTGAAGTATCCTGAATGACCTAAAATAATAAAATTTAGTTGAAAGCCTTCACAAATATTTTAAAAGTTTTATTTTCTACACTGCAAGATTTTTAATGCATGCACACACATTTTCATTAGACAGAGTAATTCATATCCGTATCAATTTTTTAGCAGTAGTAATTTCCCTCACTTTTATGAGTAGAATCTGAGCAAATATTTTAATTGTTGAAATTGGAAATACTTTCCCCACAGAATTTTTAGTTGTATAGACACATGCTTGCATTACAGGTTAGACTCCCTTTAAGATTAAATAAGTTGGGATGAAGAAGAAATCTTACAAAGCCATCAAGTTGTAAAGAAATATGAAGTTCCATAATTGCTGGAGTGGTTAGGTATGGCCTTAAGCTCTCTCTTTTCCCTTCCCAGGGCAAGGTAGGATCCAAGCCACCCCCACCTCTCCACTGCCCCTAAGAGCCCAGATAGCGCCCCAGCAAAGCAGCTATTCCAAAGCACAAACTCCAGGTAGAGATACTCAAAACATCCAAAGAAAACCAAAGCATATTTACTGTGGAGTTTTAAAAATGGTTGATCATTTTCCTAAAATACTTTCCTAAATTTTTGTGACAATAGCTGCAAAGGACTCAAAGCAATGGTGACTTCCTCCAGTATCTTGACTACACAGATGTTCCAGGATCCTGAGGACATCAGAACACAGAAAGTGCCCCAGCTATTTTTCTTGTTGATTTTTTAATGGTCTCCCATTCATTTTGTTTTCTGAACTTGGCCTTCCCCTTAAGCCTTTCCATTTAAAACAGTTTTCATCTTTAAGATGCATGGGCTTACACTTACCCTTTTAATGAAAATGAACATGAACTGCAGTGAGCAGTAGAGCCTTGGGGGAAAGAGTATGAGAACAGGACAAACTATAAAAGCACTAACCCCCACAACACTATAAAAGCACTAACCCCCACGACACCCTCTAGTCCAATTCTCAAATCCTTGAGCAACTCCAAGTGTAAAAAACAGACAAAGTGGTTTTACTCACTTTTGTTTTACTCACTTTTAATTTACAACTTGAGTGTGAGGCATGGAAAGTCACAGCTGAAACAGTTTCTAACCACCTTTCAGCTGTTTGATCCCCAAGCCCAGGAACACAGAGCAGGGGTTCTCTTCTTCAACCTCACTGCTCACTAGTCCTTTCTCAGCAAAGCAGGCAGCTGACAGGCAGAGAACAGGACAGAAAAGGACTACACAACCAAATCTCAGCTAGCCAGTGGATTACCTATCTTGCTTGCCTGAACAACAACAAGAAGCTAAGAGTGATAACCAGGGATGATATTCCATGTGAATATATAAATGCAACTCATTAGTCAGCTTTAGTTTTGATTGTGTTTGATACCCATTCAACAGCAAACTGACAATCCATCATCCCCTATTTATACTGTAAATACATTGAACAACAATAGGTCTACTCCAGCACATGACCTAGGTTTTATATTATAATGTTGCTTCTTCACATATTTACATCTTGTAGCCATTGTATCATTGTAAGCATGAATAACGTCTATTCACAGTAGTGTGAGCTTAGCCCACCCTACCCATGTGTTCCATTCCTTACAGCCAGGGACATGGGACCTTTTCAGGAAGGATGCTGAACTAGCCTTTCTAATCAGTATGGTTGACAAGACATAACTATATGAAGAGGTGGGCTACACAAGGGTTGCCAGGCTGGGCACAACATAGCACAGCCAGTCCACAACACGGGAAAGTGAGTGAACTTTAAAAGTCCATGATGTCATAACCTGGGGCTTAGCTCTGAGAGTACTGGCTGTGCTACCCCACTATAGTGGCAGCCCTAAGGAAGCCACCACAGGTAGAAAGCAGTGAAGACCTCAAGACTATTCCCTAGAAGTGACAAAGCATCCAAAGGAGGGTTGGTTTTATTTTGTTTTTATTTTTTTCTTTGTACAACACAGCAAAAATATAAGCAGAGCCTAGGATTGCAGCTGGGTACAAATACCCTCTAAATATTCCTCTGAGGAGCTGAGGCACTGTCCAAAGCCCAGACTGTGAGGCTCTGAACCCTGCTCCTACTAGTGCTTTGAGATAGGCTCTAAAGACACTACAACAGCTCAATACATCTTTCAAATCTCTCAACCTTGAATTAAAACATCCCCAGTGATGTTCAGAAGACACTTAATGGTTTGACAGGTAGATTATCCTTCAGCTGCAAGTAGGGACAGAACCATTTCACTGATGTGCTGCTCCCATTTCTGGCCTTAAACTTAGTTTAGAGAGAACTGACTTGTTGCCTATCTTAGCAGCAGAAAAGAAGTGAAGGACTATATTGCACAGGGAACAGATCTTTTTCCATTTTATGTTATGCAGACTTCTTAGTTATTGTTTAACCAAACAACACAAACATGTAATGCTATAGCTCAGGTGATACCTGTGAAGTATATAATACTAAATTCAAGTCTCTCGTGTCACTCCGAGGGAGTAGCAAGAGGAAGTTTTGTGCTGTTACCTGTTTTGATGATGGTTATTGGCTCCCCACCATGCAGGCTCGCCCTGCTGATCGAAGGGCCGCTGATGTCTGTCCAATAAACCATCTTGTCCACGCAATCGTAAGCAACTCCAATAACAACTTTATCCTGTTGATCAACAAGCAAATTACAACAGCTTATGTTAAACACCAATTATTTGCCAGCAGCAGTAGCTTATGAATCTAAGTCTCAAGCCTGAAAAAAACAAAATTCTTGTGGAAAGGTGAGAGATGGGGATGGCAAGCAGAGAAAAAGAGTGGGCAATAGTCATTGCAGAATGGCTTTGAAAAATTCTTTCAATTATAAGTCCCTTTTCACTAGCAGACACCATTTACAACTGTCTTCTTTCAAAGAAGTATTGTAGGTATTAGTACTGACCAGCTGGTCTGACTTTCACAACTTCACCTGCCTATTCATTTAAAGTAAGTTCATATTGTTATTTCACTGTGTTATTCCTCGCATGCTTTTTTGTCTCATTGTTTCCCTTCAAGGATCCATCAAATTTACACTGATTCACACTCTATATATTCACCAACCCATGCATTATGACTGCATTTCAGCAGTGCTGCCTACATGGCATCGTTTGACTCAGAAGTTCTAACAAAGTAAGTTTTTAAAACAAAGAAAAAAAGCTTAAATACTCCACAAATCATCCTGCTGGAAAGAATATGCTCATGGAACAAGGAACACACAGATGTAATTTTCCAGGCAGAAGAAGACAGGACTAGAGTTTTGAGTTTAGAGTTGAAACTCTTTCCTCCAGGCAAATGAAAGAGACTTTCAGGGTAAATTGGTAATTTCACCTGGATTCCCTGGTCTATCACTTTTGCTGCGTTTGTAACTTGCCACTTCTTAGAAAGATGGTCCAAAACTATGCATTAAACCAGATGCACTTATACATCAGAGTACATTCATGTAGTTTACAAAGCAATCAAAGCAACCTGACAGTGATAAACACTGTCACTTCACAAATACACAACACTGAGGCAACACAGAGACAATGCTGTTAGTGGAGACTGAAAGTTTAATTTTAACTGCAGGTTTTAAGGAAGAGTTGTATTTTATCTCTCAGCATCAAGGATTCATTTTCAAGGAAAAAAAGATTCTCAAGACAGTAGTAAGAAGTGTGGGAAGAAGATTTACCACCCACTGCACCTACACACGGAGAAGGAAGTAAAAAAATTGAAGAAGAAGAAAAAAATAATCTATATATATGTCTGTAGCCAAGAAGTGCAGAGAACTGTCTGAAAAAAACAGGAAAAGATTAAGACTTCGAAAAAAAAACCTTTGAGGGAGTAAGAGAAAAAAAAGGGCCTCTTCACATACTGCTCTTGTAAGGCTCCTAGACTTTTATACCAGAGTCAGAAAGCCAGTGGAAGTGTGAATGTAGAAGAGTTCATATGATTATCTGTTAGAAGCACGTGAGGTCACAAACACTAGATTTTTTGTCTTATTAGCTATTCCTTAAAGAAAAATTATTTTTTCTATAGTGTAGTTTTAGGCTTTTTGACTAGTTAGGTCAGAAATTTTCAGTGACAAAGTGATGGGATGCTGAAATTTCCATCAAGAGTAAAAATTTAGTTTGGACCTTACAATTATCAAAATACACAGACCAGCACTCTCAGTTTCATCTTTGTCACAAGCCTTCTAAAAGACAAGGACTTAGTATAGTAGGTTACTTACTGGAATATGCAAGAGTGCTTTTGCACCGTTTTTCTTCATATTGTTTCCCTCTAGTGGAACATGTTCAATTTTACCACTTTGAGCAAAGAGCAAGTGTGTTCCTGGTGGCAGAGGTACTGTATCTGGTCGAACAGAGGGCCCAACAACAACAGGAGGAGCAGCTGTGCTCAGACCTTTTTAACAGAGAAGGAAACAAGGCAAAAAATGAGCTTGCACAGCATAACAGTGCTACTTGTTATTTGCAGAGACACAATTACAGTCTGACTTCTTAGAAGGAAACAGCCCCATTAGCAGACACTAATAACTATAATCAGATGCAGAAAGCTTCTGAATTTTTTCCGTTGGCTGACAGCAAAGGAGCAATTGACATAATAGGTCTTTTCATGTTCAGCTCTGTAATTGCTCTTTCTGTCAAACGTTTAGAAAAAACTATTTTACTTTCCATCTGAAGTGCGGAAGATGTAGGAAGGAACAGCCTTCATTTCCCAAGGGAAGTCAGTTACTGCACATTCAGATTTGCCACAGCTCCCAGAGAACAGAAACTGTAGGGGCCCCTCACAGTTTCAAGGCAGGGAAGAAGTTAGAAAACTATCAGCTTATTCAGAGACTCACCACGGTTGTCCAGATGCCCTGGCTGAAGGAAAAACGTATGCTGGAATTGCCAAAGTTCTACAGCACAAGGCATATGGTCACTGGGACAGCAAAGATCTGCATTGTTCCAAGTCAGTGCTCTATCTCAGGGACATGAGTAAGCCTCACATTTGGGAGACAATACACTTCAGTGGAGTCACCCACCAAGAAACAAGTGTTTCACCACTTACATGGTGGTTGAACTCCTGGGCCGCTTCTGGTGCCATCAATCTCATTTCCATCCCTATCCACACACCAACAATATCCACTGCTAGAATGGCACTGAGTGGGTAGGTAATTTCCATGCTCATCACACTGAGGAATGAAGTGACCAAGCCTTATGTCCCTTGGGAAGAAAGTGCCTCCACTTCCCAGAGCTACTTCTCGTTCATGTTGGCATTTGGTCTTTTCCAATTCTGTGGGGGGAAAAAAAAAAAAAAAGACCAGTGAACATTTCTGTTTTAAGTATGTTCCATTAACAGTTAATGTATGCTGACCACTTGTAACACAAATATTCTTACCTCTGGAGGAACACAGCACTGTTACAAACCTTGAAGGCATATGCTTTCAATGCACCTTCAGGAACAGTGTGCTCTATAGGTAAATGTGACATATTTGCCTTCAACTAAGGTCATTTTGTCTTTCACTGTCTAGCTTACACCAGAACAAGCAGCCCCCTTGCAGCCTCCTCCACTGAATGGTCATAAACAGAAGTTGAAAAACACTGTTTGTCTCCTTGAAGTACATTATCAAGAACACTCTGTCCAACTTTCAAATCCAATGTCTACTCATTTGGCAGTTACCCATAGGCCTTAAAATATGACTAATTAGCCAGTGCTAATTAAATACAGTGCATAAAGGATTTTTTGTAATGCTAGAAGTTGAGCTTCCCTTCAAAGCCACAAAAGAAAATCACAACATGAAGCAGATGCTGAGTTTGTTACAGAACCTAGGAAGGGAAACAAATCATTGCTTTGATGTAGACTAGTGTTTTAGAGTTCAGTTCTCAAGTTTGAGCACTTGTTTGATACTTTTGGACCTAAGAAAGGAATTTCAAGGACAGATTATCCCTGGGAAGACACACAAGTAAGGGTATAAAGAAAACAGGAATACTAAGTATGCAGAGCATCATATGGTACACAATGGCTAAACCACATGTGTATGTATTACTGTAGAGATTACAGAGGAAAGACTAAGTTTCCAGACTATCAAGAGATTCAATTCTTTTGGTTTCACTTTTACAAAACAGCCTGGACTAAAATATATATCATCTTATGGTATTACCTATCCTGTGACAGGGAATATAGTCTGGATCAATAAATCCTTCTAGATACCAAATTAAATTAGAAGAATACAATAACACCAATCTTTTTCCTTCTCCAGACAAAAAATATCTGGCTTAGTTTTACCTTGCACTTGAGACCCTTGAAGGGTTCTGTGCATTGGGAAAGAAAGAGCTCTAATTATGGTGGAGTAACATTTTCCTGTCAATGATTCCTACAGACAGTTAGAGATAGTCACCACAAACTGCCTGCTGAAGAAGCTTTAAAATTACACTTCCATTTATTCTTTGTTTTCACATTGCCTGGTGGACAGCATTAGCTATGTGTGGCTCAGACTAGACCCAGCCCAGCTGAGTAAAAATCTGATCCCATGCTTCCACAGATTGTTGTGGTGTAAATCACACAAGTACAAAAAAGAAGGGTAATTTTTATTATTTAAACTAGTTATGCAAGCAAAAGCTTTGGACAAGTTTCATGCACCTGGACACAATTAGTGAAATATAAATATCTGGAGAACAGCTCACTGAACAACTGAAATATTTGGCATCAGTTTTAATGTGGGTGGTGGAGAGCCTTGAATCAATGTACAAAAACAGACCCTGAAAGAAAGCTTCCATTAGCTATCTCAAATTTTGTTTGCATGTATTCAATGTACTATGCAGTATGCAGGTAAAAAATATTGATTCCAATAACTGGATAGTTTTGCCACAGTTTTTGGCAAGTGAAAGAAAGCAGAGGGAATACAGAGTATTGGTAATTGACCCACCCAGCTTTTGTTCACTGGGAACAAAATCTTCATTGCATTCATATAATCTTTGTAATGCACTATTAGCTCCTCCTCAGTGAGATATAGAAACAAATGTACAAGCCGGTCATTTTTCCTTCCCATCTGAAACTCACAGAATTAAAGAATATCTAACAACTTTTTAAAAATCAATAGTCTCAATCAACTTTCTGAAGTTGATTTAGTGGCTGGAAACTGCCTGGTGGAAAAGGACCTGGGGGTGTTGGTGGACAGCTGACTGAACATGAGCCAGCAGTGTGCCCAGGTGGCCGAGAAGGCCAATGGCATCCTGGCCTGGATCAGAAATGGTGTGACCAGCAGGAGCAGGGAGGTGATCATGCCCCTGTACTTGGCACTCGTGAGACCACACCTTAAGTACTGTGCCCAGTTTTGGGCACCACAGGATAAGAAGGACATGATGGTGCTGGAGCGGGTCCAGAGAAGGGCTGGTGCGAGGGCTGGAAAACATACCTTAGGAGGAGTGGCGGAGGGAGCTGGGGTTGTTTAGTCTGGAGAAAACCAAGAGGAGACCTTATAGCTCTCTACAACTACCTAAAAAGAGGTTGTAGTGAGGCTGGTGTTGGTTTCTTCTCCCAAACTACTGATGATAGGATGAAGGGAGATGGCCTCAAGCTGCACCAGGGAAGATTCTGATTAGATATTAGGAAGAATTTCTTCACTGAGAGAGTGGTTAGACACTGGAATGGGCTGCCCACAGAGGTAGTGGAGTCATCATCCCTGGAGGTGTTCAAAAAACGAGTGGGTGTGACACTTGAGCCTATGGTCTAGGGGTTAGGGAAATGTTGGGAGGAAGGTTGGACTTGATGATCCTGGAGGTCCTTTCCAACCATAGTGATTCTATGATAATGAATCAGCAAATATGAATTATACAAAGGAGTGTGTGACCCAGCTCTTATACATAAAATATATTAGTATTATTGGTACCTTGAAATACCTATGTCTATTCTAATGTCAAGACAATTTTCACATTTATATCTGCAGATCTTACACAGGAATATCAATGGAATTTTTGAAGGGTATTTATATTGCAGTGATCAAGATCAATCTAGCAAATGGCCTACTTATGCAATCAGCCCCATGAATGTCAAGAAACTAGTCACATCCATTTTCAAAATTAGCACTCGGTTTCTAGAAGACAGAGAATATTTGTTCTTTCTAAAAAAAAAAAAAAGTCCCATCAATACTGATTTTTCAGTTGCATGAAAAGGTGTCATAGCCTATTGTCACTTACTTCAAGGGATAAGTATGTATTTTACCACTTCTGTGCTCCTAAGAGTCTTTTACATTTGTGATCACTTCTTAACAATATAAAGTGTGGTAAGTAATCTATGTTAAAGAAAAATTCTGAAAAGAAATAAAAACAGTGTTACCATATTCATCTGTGCTGACTCAATCATTTTAACCTGTCTCTCAACATTAAACTAATTTCAACTCCCTTGGCTAATGGGTTTAGCCAATATTAAAGTTTATAAACCAAAACAAGCTCCTAAATTGGTTATGATAATCCAAACCAGACGCTTTGAATCCTATTTTTTTCCTCTCCTTATCTCTGAATCATGAACAGGATTATTTTGCTAATAGTTTACAGGCACCTAAAGAAATGTGAGCTGAATCCCAGTCCAGTGTTCCAGCCTATGCAGTATTGAAGGCACCGTAATCTTGCATACAGATGACAGTTGGCTGGGATAAATAGTCTGCTTATACAGTCATACATTGTACTAATTGTTCCTCAGAGAAGATGCTCTGTTTTTGCAAGTTTTAAACTGGATTAATTAACTGTTTGAAATGAGGCTAGCTATGACAGTTTGAAAGATGAGACTGACACAGAAAATAAAGCACATTGCCTGCCTTGATGAGCCAACAGCACATTAGACAAAACATATAACAAGAACTGGCATATACGTAGGTAGTACAAGGGCTACTTTGTAAGCCAGCTTCTATTTGCAAATCTTATAGCTAGTAACTTTCCTTTCCTTCAGCACAGCAGCCTAAATGAAGTTTCTAAGTGCCCTTCCTTTAATATAACTACAGTAATATTTCATTCAGTCAAGACTCTTCAAAGATACGGAACAATTAACATTAGGAGATTTCTCTGATCAAGACTGGCACAAAGAAAACCTCCATTAACCACAACAGGCAGAGCTAAGAGCAAGTAACACCTGCCTGGTGTAACAGTGCTGTTACATCTACTACTATACCTGATTGTAGCAAACAAAGCAAGTCATGCCTATTTCAAGTCTCCATACCAGGGAGATTTTCAGAGGTTCTTGCCATTCCTGAAATCCACATTTGAAAGCCAAGCTAAAAGCTTCCATATTACCTTAGTCTTGGTTTTAAATTTCTGTATTAAGGAATTTAATTCCTTTATTAGAATTCCAAAGAAAAATATACAATGATAGGTTCCATCATTTGTGGAAGAGAAATAGCCATAATACATGAGGAGGAGCTCATTTAAAATCAGATTCACACAGTCAAATAGAAAATTTAGAGGAACAGTGTATTCTAAGAAGTATAATCTTTAGAGTGCCTCTAAAGATAAACTCCTCTTGGAAACCACAACCAAAAAAAAAAAAAAACCAAAACAACCAAACCCACACTATCAGCACATTACCACTATCAGCACCCAGCTCAGTGCTGTAGGGATTGTGATGGGGTATAAATAAGAGTTCAGCATATACACAGGGAACACTGCACAGGTATAGAGAAGCAATGTGGGACTGGGGAGAATACTAGGTTAAGCTCTGGTAACAGTTCAAAAGGACAGTGAAAAAAATGAACCAGAGTACAGAAAAGAGCTCCTAAGAGAGAATTCATAGGGCAGAACAGAGATCAAAGTCCTGATAAGAGAATTCATGTTCCATGGACCACAGAACACAAGTCAGACTAGATACATAGAAGAGTGCATCCTGAACTCAAGCTAAATGTATATCCTTCCTCAGAAAAATAAGTTTGTATTTTATGTTTTAAACATTATTTTCAGTTGTTTCATAAACTACCAGTGGCAATCTTGAATTTTAATTTCACTGAAATGTATAATGGAAATTGAAAAAATTAAATGGAAATAGCATGGATGTGGAAAGATGAAAATCATAAAAGTACAAATTTATCACATAGGTGGAGGAAGAAAAAGAAACCTAAAGCCATATACAAATATTGAAAGTCTTTTTTGGTCATAAATTAAGCTCTTGCAGCAGCACTGCAGAAAATGATTTACTGACTTTTCAAAAAAAAAACAAAAAAAAGAAGGCTGAGAAATCAGGATGAGAAAGAGATGTACAGGACTTCCATTTTGCAGGGGGGATTACAGTCTGATACATTAAACCAAATCAAATTACTTCTGTGACCACATTCAGAAATTTTAAAAATCTGGTGTAACAACACAAACAGTTTTCCACTCACAAGCTGAAGACAGAAGTGATTTAAAATCATGCCCAGAATCAGTATGTAGTCAAAGTTTTTAATTGCCTATGTGGATCACTTAATTCCCCAAATATCACAAGAAGTTCTACTGACATTTTCAATTGCTGTTCTCAGGCTTTGTCAATAAAAAAAAAAAGAGAAAAAAAAAAGGGCAAACAAAAACCAAAACAAAATTACACACTTTCTTTTGTCCCTTCATTTTCCTCTGTAATCCTTCACTTACAGTGCTGCCCTGATAAGTGCATTTCATTTCTCATGTGAAACAGATTGTATACAGAGGACCAGCAAATGGCTCTTAACAGTCAGACCCCTAGGTTCCAAGAATCTAGATTTGTTTCTGTTTAGTAAACAATGTCTGGGGTCTGCAGGGGTAGAAACATTCAGACATCTGGTTTTTTGAAATGGAAAAATGAAGCGTGAGGAAATAATGAAGTACAGACTTTCTTAATAGCTGTGAGCAGGGGGACATTCCAGCATCATTAACTCTTTCATCAACCTGCTGGTTCACTACTACAGACACCCTCTTCTGTGCGACTAAAATAAATTTTGCTTGTTAGTCTACTTTTTTCAAGAGTTACCATTCAGCACTGCTAAGATTCAGCAGTCCATTTCCTATAATAATAAAAACACCAAATATGCAAAAGTTGTGCACATGAATCTGAAAAGGGTACAGCTAAAAGAACTGGGTATTTGGATGAACAAAACTTTCCTTACTACTAACAATCAGGAAAGACTTCAGTGACTTGACTGTGGCTAATTAGATTCCCTTAGTAAAATGGGAAGAAAGGGTCTCTAATTACAGCTGAATACAATAGAGACTCATCTGGAATTGCCATTCTGAAGGAACTCACTTTACAAATTGGGTGCTAAAGTAAACTGAACTGCTTTTTGCTAGACTTCAGAAAGTATATTTTGATTCTATCTTCTGACAATGGATGAACTGTTGGTTCCAGCCTTTTAAAAAGTATTAAAGCTTCAGCAACAAATGACATCCCAAGGGTAGCTATTGTTCTATTAACTCTCTAAGAAGGGAGTAGTTTGCTGCAGACACTTCCATTGGTGCAGACCAGCAAAGCAATACAGATACCTGTGCTTGATTCAGCAAAAGGGAGACTTCGTATCTACACAGACTTTTTCTGCTCAGAGCATTTCATGAGCAGAGCCAATTCATACAAGCATTTCTAAGCACGTCTTCTACTGGTAGTACAAAAAAGTAAAAGAAAAAAAATCAGAGAGATATAGCTGAAAACTAACAAAATCTGGCAGATCCCCTCCCCCCACTTGAACAGTAGATAAAACAAAACTCTCCAGAATATTTTGTTACTCCCATTAAAACTGTGAGGTAGAAAGATTCTCTTTCAAGACACAGTTTTGGTTAGTATGGAAAGTCAAGAAGCGTACAGGACAAGCAGTAAAAAATAATATGAAGTTACTACAAGATAGTACACTATGCTTAGCAGTTTAGTAGACACTAGCCACCACATGTGAAAAGGTGTTCTTCTTAAACAAAAAACACAAGTTTAAGTATGCTATCACATATACTCAGAAGTAGTTAATTGTCCTGTTTCAACCAAGGGGATATGCCAGACATGAAAGCAGTTATTTCTGCCTCTACAATTCTGCTTGAAAAACTGGCACCTTTAAGGTTTGGTTTTGCCTCAAGTTATTCACATCAGCTTTCTCCTCTAGGAGGAAAAATTCTGGCTTTATCAGCTGATTGGTTAGCTAAATATTTTGACATACGTCAGGAACACTAGGTAGTTCTGCATCCATCTGGTATTAAAATGAAAACATGCATGAGCATTCATGCATGAAAAGTTATTTAAAAAAATATTGAAAGACTGAAGAAGTAGTAAAAATCTAGAGCTTCAGAACTAAACACTGCAGAGCCTCCCACAGTTTACCTATGATAGAAAAGTCTACAAGCAGTGGATGATTTGACATAACACGTGTTGTTGACCACATGATAAAGAGTCATGTAAATATGACCTAAAATCAGAAACAACCTTGTGGTTTTTTTACACCTTTCCTATAAACAATAATTTGCTTTTTTTTTAAGACATGAGCATCCAGCTGTGCAAAAGAAGTCAGAAATTCAGAATTAGGGAACATAGCAGCAAAAGAAAAATATTGTGTTATTAACACATCAGGTAGCAATCACTTTTAAGCCAGCACATCCGGTACTAAAAAAAAAGAACTCAATTTTGAATCTTCAGAATCTTTGGACATCATTAAGACCACAGTTCAGAAGCTGAATTATAAAGAGAGCCTTTCTCTTCATTCATACGGCTTCTTGCTTTCTTTCCCTTTGGCCCTATGCCTTTCCTACTCTTGGCTGCATGGTTTGAGCTTCAGTCTGTTGAGCAACGCAGCATTTTTCACCCAACAGCAAGAATCTTAGAAGCAGGAGAACTGGGTTTGAATATACTCAGAAGTTAGGCTTTATTTTCTGGATGAAAGCATTACTCATTCTGCAAAACCTGAGTGCTGTCCCATAGCATGCTTTTGAATTAAAGTAACCATAACAATGCTAATTTGTGCTTCAGTGTGCCTTACTCTTTTTTTAAGTGTACCTTCGAGATCAGGAGTTTTATACTTCAAGGCCCAAAGTACAATGCAAGAAAAGAAGTGTGGGAGGGTAAAGAACTTTTTGCTAAACAGAAAACAATCTGAGCAAATAAAAAACCAACTCAGCCCTAGTTAGAAACTGGAGTTAGTCTTTCTGGACTCTTGCTGGCTATGCATGGCACATACACATCTAAATCCTACTGCAGACAACAGTGGAGGTACTTTGGTCTTATCCTTTGCTTTTCTCCTGTCATTGTTGCATTTCATTCATGTTGTCAATAGTTCCAGATGTTTTGTGACTATTGTGCATACAAACCAAATCAATATGTGGTCAAACCTTTACATAAGGCAACTTCAAAACATAGTATCAGCCTGGGGCCTGAGAACTGCTAGGAGCAGAATAAACAGAACAAAATGGGACATTGAAGAGGATATCATGGAAAAGTGATAATAATCAAGATAGAAATTTTGACACAAGCTTGCTGAAATTCAAAACTTGAAAGACTTGAGAAAGAACAAAGATCACAGTAAAACAATGCACTATCTGTTCCAGAAAGTAACCAAATTAACATATATTCTCCAATTCCCAAATTATACTTCTGGTCCAACTTTCAAAAACTATAAAATTTTACCTCCTAACACACACCGGAAACCATCCCCACGATAACCTGCCTTACACTGGCAGCTGAAGGACCCAGGAGTGTTGTAGCAGAAAGCATCTGGATGACAGTGGCCCTGTTGACATTCATCTACATCTGTAAAAGAAAAGATCAGTCTCAGAGAACTGTTCCTCTTGATGGACAAATCAGAGTGATAAACTGAAGTGCAAACCTGCCATTTTACTTTCAGTGTCCTATTTTAGAATACCTGGCTAGAATTATAGACCACTGGAAGAACATCTATACAGGAATATAAAGGACAAAAAAAAGCACATGTATTTCTGGCTCTCAGCAAATTCCTGCATTCTGTTTTTCCGATGAGTAACTGGCATTGTTAACTCACACAGTATTTTAGAAATTTATGCCTGTGTTTCTCAAGGAAAAGCATTAACACACAAGAAGTAGGATTTGGCCAGCAAGGTTTCCAATGTAAAGCTGCTCCCCCACTGCACTCCAACTGATATAAAACAGAGTATAACTTTTTACATAGTCTAAGCATCATGTGTCACCACCTTACTAATATAAACCAATACAGTTCAAAAAAGGTCCAGCAGATGAAGATCTGCTTCATCTACCGTAGATCTACCGTAACTGTGGCTACAGTAAAAGCAATTTTTGCATTTACCTCATCTTGGACCTTTTGCAGCTCAAATATTAAAGAAGGAATTCAGAAGTGAGGAAGGGAAAGGACAAAAGCATAATGCACTACTTGCCTGAGGGACTTAGTGAAATTTCCTACTTTGAATCACAAGAAGCTATAGGGCACTGCAATCAAGTTATGCAACAAGAAGTATAAACCCCACCCCCCTCTACCCCCCAAGAACTGGTGCTACCCACCCTCACAGGCACGCCCGTCTCCGGAGAAGCCAGGGAGGCACGTGCAGATGTAGGCAGACCCACCGGTGTACACACACTGAGCACGCTGGGGAATGTCACAATTGTGTGTGCCTGTCTGGCAATGGTTCACGACATATTCAACAGCTGCAGGTTACATATACAAAAGAGAATAGGAAAATCTGAATTTTTCTTTGCAAAATCTGAAGCTAATAATAAATTTATTGGGAGGAAAGAACAGCTGTGAAAGCACACAGACGGTAAAGAAAACAAAGAAACTGAGTTTTTTGGTTTGGGAGTTCGGATTTTTCTTTTTTCCAAGATCTCTCCTTTGACTGGTGTTAAATCTTAATGTTCTTACAAGGAATTGATTGTCCTCAGCACCTCATAAATGTTTGTTAATATAGAACAGGGCAGAAAAACTACACAATGACAGAGCCTAATATCCATGGCAGTTCTGTTTGTAAAAGGGAGTCATGGATGAAGAAATGTAAGGCGTCTCACAGAGGTACTTCACATGTTAGCCAAGTGGTCAGTTCACTGCACTGGGAATTATTAGACATCCTGCTACACTAACCTAGCGCTGACCCAGGGCTGTCGTCACTTGGCAACAGACAGGAGCTGTGACTCACTCAATAGGAGATAAACATATTTGTCAACTATTGGACAGATTTTTGAATAAGTGTGGAAGCTGGGACGAGTCCTGCAGCTTTTCATAAGTTACTTTCTCACAGTTGTGCAGAATGCCTCTGAAGACACTGCACTGTTTTGCACACATATTATTTCTGCTAGTTGCTGGCGATTTGCCTATGCTTACCTGTTATGTCAGAGAAGATGAAAGGAGACCATGGTATTTTAAATAGGAAGAGGTAAAATACTACAAAAATTTTGGGCCTGGAAATACACGTTTGCAATGTATGCATCTAGGAACCAACTTCCAGATGCTGTAGCAGAGCATTCAGTGAGGCTTTCTTCACATAATTCTTATGAGGAGCTGACAGACCAAGACAAACTCTACAATGCTCTTTACATCGCAGTGCACAGATGGAAACTACCACAGTATTGGCAGGGAAATAATAAAAATCAGCCATCAGAGCCAGATCTGAAAACAGCAGTTTTTTCCATTTCTCTGGGGATGACATCATTGCTAGTATCATTTATATCTGTACTGTTTGATGAAGCAAGTTTTAGATTACAAAATAATCTATTCAGAACTGTATTATAAATGCGTAAGATTTGGAGTTGGAGCTCAAAGGGAGTCCCCAAGTCCTCCTATTCCTCAGTCTACAAATAGGAGAACAGGATTTATTTATAACTCCCTTCTAGAGTGATTCAGTGAGTCACAGAGCTGGTATGAAAAAGCTTCAGTTGCAAAATGCTGAGTCAGAGCTGGTATTCCAGAGCAAGATGCAAAAGCACAAAGAGGGTAGCAGTTGCCCCTTCTGGGGTTCAATTTGTCTGGGGGTTATAAAAGTCTCACTGGTGGAAAAGGGAACAAGATTACCATGGCATATATTTTCAGTCTGTTGGGAAACTGGGCTTCATCGTCTCTCTTTTCAGTCTTATGGATGCGAAGTCTGGTTTTGATTGAAGGAAGGGATCGAACTGAAGTTTTTCAAGCTGGCCAAGAAATTACTTAGCACTTGTTAGAAGTGTGACACATCAGCTTCATGGGAAAGTGGTACAGTGAAGCTGGCGAGGTCATGGCTGGAGGGAAGAATGCTCCTTTTCATATCCAAGTGACAAAAGGGCAGTGGCAGACGTAATGGAAAGAACATAAAGCTGCTCTCACCCTATCCCTTTCAGTGCCCTGGTAGAAGTTGCTTTCCAATTGTTCTGCCACAAAGGGGAGACTTAACAGTGCACTGTGAGCAGACGTGGATGGTAATTTTTACTGGAACAGAGAAATAAGGCTTACAATGGAATGTAATGCACAGCATGCCAAGTCACACTCTTAAGGGAAGTAATGCAACTTTCTGCTGTAAAAAGGTAGCTCCTCAGTCTTAGCTGAAGAACAGTCTCGGCTGTAATTCACCATGGGCAAATCATGTTTGACAAAGCTGATTGCCTTCCACGCCAAAGGAACCTGTTCTGTTGATGTGGGGCGAGTGAAGGACATTGTCTACCTGGATTCCTCCAGGGCTTTTGATACCATTTCCCACAGCCTCCTCCTAGAGAAACTGATGTGTTATAGTCTAGACAAGGGGTCTGAGCAGTGAGAGGGGAACTGGCTGACAGCCTGCACCCAGAGGGTGATGGTAAATAGCTCCTTGTCCAAGGGATGAATCTGTAAGTAAAATCTAATCTATTATATCTAGTCCAAAATTAGATTTAAGAAAAAAACAAAACTCCAAACCTCAAAAGGCAAAGCACAGCACTGCACAAAATGCACAAAAAGCCTGACTTTATCTTAAAAGTAAGATGCTGTGAAACAACAACAAATTAATAACTGCTTATTTGAAGTTTTCTTCTTTTACAAATTTGAATTTTACTTCCCCATGAAATCTACAGCTAACTGATGGTACAGAAAGGACAGAAAAATTCAATAATCATTTCAAATTTCTGGAATGGAAATATTCTGAATGTGGAATTTTTACGAGATGGAAATAAAGTACTTTTAGGCATTTTCTTCAGTTACCTAATGGATTGTAACCACTAACTGCAGCATGAACTCCTAAATTCAACTCACATTATAAGTCATTATAGCCCAAATGCCAGCGGACAGCGCTTCCAAGAAATGTGAAACTCACCAACACAAGTCCTCCCATCTGCTGCAAACTGGTATCCTTCAACACACTCGCAGCGGTAGGTTCCTGGCTGGTTATTGCAGACCGCATTGCTGCCACAGAGAGCTGCTTGCTCCGAACATTCATCAACATCTAGAATATTATGAAGATTCCAGTTATCACAAAGATGTATTCAATATTTGAAAGGGTTCCACATATCTGTGGCTCTGTATGCATGTGCATATGCCTTTCCTCATCTCCCTCAAGAACTTTTCACCTAGTTGACTCATTTTAGCCAGAACTTGCATTATAGTAAGTTTCTCACAGTTAAGTTCTCACATTTTAAGAGAAGACAAACTGTGTAGGAAACATGCTTTAAAACCTAGAAAAACATACCCAAGTTTGACCCTTCAACACAGTGAAACTTGTTTACTTTGACCATTGAGATACATCAGCTACCCCACCATCCCTCTAACCTATCATTCCCAAAACCAGCCTCTCAGGACACATTCTGCTGCAATAGCTACACCTGAGGGTCAACCCATTTCCAGCAAAACAAAATCCACGTGAGCTGTCATTTTATAACAAAAGTTTCTGATACCATAACAAACATTTCCATCTCCACGGAAGCCAATGGAGCACTCGCAGAAGAAACGATTTCCAGTTCCTGGACGACACACTGCATTGGTGTCACAGTTATGAGTTCCAGTGTAGCAAGGATTCCGGTTAATATCAGCGGAACCATCTGACAAGAGAGATCATATTTAGCCATGATGACTCTATCCAAGTAACAGCATTCAGCTAAGGCCCAGAAGGAGATTGTTCATAGTGCAAGTGGAACAAGGAAAGAACACTTTTTGCACTAGGAAGAAGTAGACTTGTAGGTGATGACTTGTAGGACATGAATCTCAGACATGGCAATAGCATATCTGAGATTCCTTATTACTTGTGCAAAGGATTCCCGAGTTAAAAAGCAACAGAGAAGTCATACAAACCTCTCTAAAGAGGAGGACTGAAAGAGAATGCATCTTACAGCCACTGACACCAGACCCAGAATGCAATTCTTAACAGCCTGGTTTGTTCATTTTAGTTAGTAGAACTTTACATTTGTAACAAACAAAAGTAAGCAGTCTTCCCGTACTCATCTGGTATGTATTTTCAAATTGCTCCTTTGATTTTTTCCTGATTTCGGTGCAAACAGAAAAACTTGGACAGCTCACCCAAAACCACACACTTCATGGACTGCATACCTTCCAAGGATAAAATGCCATGTTTCAAGATAAGTTAGAGAAACTGGCTGTTTCAATGGCAAAACTTATTCCCCTTTTTTGCCCTTTGCTCTGACAGTACAAGAAAAAGTCTTTAATAGAAGAATTATAAATTAGTCAAAGATAGATGATACACTCCATTTATCTGAGCAGCAATAGATTCAAGGTGGTATACTGAGGGTATTTCAAGGAATTAGACAAACTCCACTGAATTTCAAGAGGAGATAACCACTTAAATACTCTACCCCAAGTGAAAACACAAACTTACACAGCCCCATTTATCTTAACTGATGGATGCAGGCTTCTACTGGCTAACGCAACAAATTAATGCAACTCATTAATTTAACCCAGCTAAGACAAGCTAAGAAAAAAAAAATAAGCCTGCTCTTGATAACACACAAAAGAGAAAAACGAAGATTTCCAATTTGTACATACCACTGATGGGGCCGATGGAATTACTCATAGCGTAGCGCAGAATCTGCTCGTCTCGGTTATAGAGGACAAAGACGCTGTCCACTGAGAGCTGCTGAGTAGCAGAGGCAGCGTGGTGAGAGTCATCATGAATGCATTCATCAAAGGAGATGGTCTGTCGCCACTGATAGGCGCCCGTGTAGGTGGACGCAGCCCCGTCCCGCTCGGGCTCCGTCACCGTGTACTCCCTGGTGGACGACGACGTGATCACTGCAGCACGGCAAGAAACGCACTGATCAGGACAGGCAGCACGAGTACTCTGCCAAATGCTCTCTGTAGGCTTGGGACACAGCCTGAGTAGTGTAAATAGAGAACTCCAAGGCAAACAGCTATGAAACCGGATGCATTTCTATGTAAGGGAACAGGCACTTGACTAGGCTTGCTCTGCTCTCCCATATCACGGCATTGAGGAACAAGTCATTATTTATCTTGAAATATTTTTAAAATTTGACTTTACTTTGTGGGTTACCAGGTAAAGAAAGGAAAATTCCACTCAGGAAACTCAGATTTCTTTTCTAGATGAATTTATAGAATGGATCTATAAGCTAAGATGGACAAGAGCCACCTCACCAGCACCAAATTACTTGCACTTTTAGCTCATTGTGGTCTATTTGCCTTGGATTTTGACAAAGTTCTGAAGAATATCTATGTCTGAGAGCTCTTTTATGCTTCACAATAGTTTTCTATATTGTGAAAACTTGTGATCAAAACTCTTCAAAGCAGATCTGGGCCTGTGGATCTTCCCACCAACAGAAAGCTCCTCAGAACTTCACTATTCTTCAATTGAACACCAGAACACATCTGTATCAATCCACTTGCAACAGCTGGCAAAAGCTGGATGTCTGGTCTATCAGATAGGCCACAGGACATGAGAAGAATAACCATCCGAGTACTGGTAAATCAAATCCAGCTTGAAGGATACCTCGCTTCCAGACCCTGACTTTTCCTCCATGGGGACAGCATTTCTGCCAAGAAGGCAGATGTTCCACAGAGCACATGCCGCCCAAACAACTCCAAAACTACAAAAGCTTTTCAGCACAAAGCAGAATTTTCCTGCTGCCTCTAGCTCCTCCTCACAGTCCATAATGACAGGCAGAACAGCAAGAGGGGTTCATCGCTGGCTACCATAACCAGAGGTTAGCAGATATAAGGCACTGATGATGCAACTACACTCCTTTCAGCTATCTCTAGCAATGAAAGTGCACCCTTGGGGCAAAGTGTGCTCTCTCCAGTATTCATGTGCACCTGGGTGCACCGCGGGCTGCTTCTTCTATTGTTCTTTGGCAGATGGACTGGCCAACCAGCAGCAACACTCCAATCTCACTTTTGTTTTGCTGTGTTGAAACACCCATAATTTTATCCAGAAAGAGGAATGCAGAAGGGAGATTCCCCTGTAAATAGTGAAATGAACAATGACTCTCTTAACAAATCTCAGTCTGAGATAAGGAAGTGAGGGAGAGTGCTGAAGAGACAATGCAGAAACTGATAAGGGAATTAAGAGGCTCCTAATACTTTTTGTGGTTGTTCAAATTTAGCTCAAATAACCCTGACAAATACAAGGCACAGTCATTGGCAAGCGGTTTACATGACATGTACTTTTAAATAAAGGTTTTGTACAGTTTCATCAGACAAGACCAAAGCCCACTTCATATTACCATAAAAAGGTACACACCAGTACAGCTCCTGCTGAAACTCTATAAAAAGCTTTGCAACTTGTACAACTGCCATCAGCAGTGTAAAAATAAAGCAAATGAAAAGAGAAATTGAGAGTGTTTTACAAACATCAGTTTGGAGAAAGTTAAACTCTACTTTTTTTTCTCTTTTTTTTCCTCCCAGTAAAAAGATCAGAAATATTTCCACTGTCCCATTGAGAATCTATGTTCTTCTGGGACCTGTTCCTGAAAGGCAAGCCCTAACTTTCTAGAAATCAAACAGTCCTAAGCACACTCACAGAAACACTATTTTTCAGATTGTCTTACTCTCTACTCTGAGAAACATGCAGTGTCTTATTCTTGCATTCTTAGGGAACCTTACCAGAACTAGAAGTGTGATAGAGTTCAGTGTATGGTTCTATTTGGACTGATGAGCCAGATGGGATCTCAGGTATTCTGCCTTCCATTTCTGTGCTGATGGTAAGGTGACCATGCTCATCAATTCCACTGAATTTCTGCTTTATAACCAGCTTCTCATTGTTGCCAAGGAAAGTTACTTCGGTTTGTCGTGTAAACTCGCCACCTAAAGAAACGGCATTAGTTAAACCACTTAATATTGGTTTCTGAATCCTCCTATTCAAAGAATTGCTTCTAGTAGATAAACTATAAATTATTTTCTGCAAGCTTTGATGAAGCATATTGCTAACTAGATTTCTACAAAAACAACTTTCAGAGATATTCCAATAATATTCTTGGATAATGCAAGGAAACTTTTCTTTCACTTCAGCACTGAATGTGCTAAATGGCAATTAAGCCTGAAAAAGCAGGGTTTTTAAAGTTAAACAAAAGTTCTAACAAACCTAATAATAGTAGGCATTATCCCACCAGTAAAAATGTCAAGGGAGTTGTACATTTTAAAGAAAACCTTGATTAGGAATATAGTGAGTTTAAAAAAAAAAAATCTGTTTCTAAATCAAAACAAAGTGAAATGTTGTAAATTCAAGAACAGACTTCAAACACACCAAATAAAAAAAAAAAAAGTTATGTTAAACTAAATTCATAGTACAGGACTGTAAAGGATAAAATGTTAAAAAGAAACACATGTTCTCCTAGAACAGATTGGACCTACAGCTTGAATTAATGTGCAAAACCAACCAGATTTGGCCTTCAGCTCTCATGAAAAGCTGTAATTGTGAACTGGGGTTTCCTTCAGATAAGTTAATAGAATCATTTGCATGCCGTGCAGGAATTGCTTCTGTCAAGAATTTCAGACCTTCATGAGGTCAGATTTTCATTCCTCTTTCGCTCCACTGCTACAATCATCAGGCAATTAGGATGTTAGACCTCTTGTAGATGAAGGGGAAGCTTTTTTCGGTAGCTCTGTACACTCTAGTACCAAAAATCAGAACCTATATTTTCATCCTATATTGCTTCTAAATATACATTTCTTTCCTATAAAGATAGAGGAAAGCCTAGCACAGTTTTTCAAGGTATTTTAATTTAGAAGTTACCGGTAACACTGAATCCATTTTTATATCCTTGCTGTTCCACAGCGAACATCCATCCTATGATACCTCCAATAGAGGCAAGGGGCAGTAAAGAATACCCCAAAGTCTCGGGGATTGTACTGATAGCAGTGTAGGCACGTCCTTGGTTCATCACAACATAGGAGTGGAGATCAGTGTTCTCAAATATAACTGGAACAGGGTTATTCCCCACAAAGATTCTTCCTTTGACCTTCCCGTTGACTCTCTGAGGAGAACCTGGCAAATCAATACAATGCATTAGAACAAAATGCCAGTTCTCACATACTCTCTCCAAGGAGTGTGTTCAGTGTTCACTATGTTTAAAGATACTAGTGTGGAAATATATGCCAAACGCTCACAGAATTCAACAGACAGGAAACAGCCTTCAAACAGTTGATTTGCTATGTACATATCTAGATGCGTGCATGCATTGTCACTACACAGACGTCTAAGTGGCCAAAATTGCCTGCAGAGACGCCCTTTATCTTAATAATTTTGTCTGCAAGGATAACTCCATAAACAGACTAAGCTGTTAAGAGTCTCTCTTGAGAGTAAGAGGCATATAGAAACTTCTTTTGAAGATCACAATTCATATCAACACCTATTGAATGTAAATTCATTCATTCCCTATTAGAAGGCTAACACCATTAGGTGTTAGAATAATTAGTCTGTTATTGTAACCTATTCTATTTCTTGACTCAAATTATTGACTTGTTTTAAGACTGTTCCTGTTTTACAGAAGTAGCTACTTCAGAGTGCTAGTTTTCTTCTGTATATAATTTCCTATATACAACTTGAAATTCCATTATCTTCCTGTCCTTCTTTTCTTTCCCTGGAAAATTCAATTTTATGAACTGAAAGCTAAGTAGTAGGTTTTGCTTTCCTGCCTCATAAAACACAAAGTCTGCAGTCAGCTATTTTAGTTGTTGAAATGCATCTATACACTGAGTCAAGTTACTGTGAGGATTACAAGTGTATACATAAGAAATTCCTTTATGGACTTTACACAGGAACAAAGTTTAAATGGATATCTAACAAAAATCTAGCAGATTAGCCCTTTAGTAAAGAAGCTTAAGAGTCAGACAAAGAGGAGCCATGCTCTTTAGTTTGATGATCAAAGTTAATTTGTTCAACCCTTTTGAACTGTTCTTTTCTAGAGCGGGAACCAAATCAGATAATAACACATTGAAACTTCACTACTAGTTCTAGCAATAAACACCTGGATGTTAGGCTATCTGTTAGATTACGTCAGTTATGTAAGATCTTACTTCTAGAAAGTCATGTTAAAGTGCATAAGGCATATAATTGACACACAAAATATTTTGCTTCCTCAAAAAAAACCCACACAGCTTTACAAAGTATAGCTCACTTCTTAAAATAGCTTTCAATACATCTCTGTTATAAGTCTTTCAAGAAGTATCTAACCACAACATTTTAGTTTTGACAACAGACCGCCTCAGTCAAGAATGCCATGTGCAATTACTGCATATGTACCCAATTTCCCAAAAAAGTTACCTTCTGCTACACACTGTCTGCCATTTCCTTTGTAACCAGCAATGCAACTGCAACAAAATCCGTTGGGATAATCTTGGCAGAGGGCATGAATGGAGCACTGGTGCCGGTTGTTAGCACAGGTCTGTTGGACATCTGTCTGGTAGCGAAACACTGCAGAAAATAAGACAAGGCACTTACACTTTGTGTAATTACTATAGGACTCACATATCCCTTGTTAAAAATATTTCTAGACTAATGTGATTAGTGGGGGTCTATTTATTTATTTATTTATTTAAGGAAAGCGAACAATTACAGTTGATTTTTGCCAACCTTGCAATACACAAGTCTACTATTGTGCAGAAAACGTCAGAGCATCAGATGTTAGGAAACTGTTTCGTTCTACTGACTTCAGCAGATCTTTATTGATACAAATCAGTTGAACCATCTTGAAAAATTAAATACACAATAATTTTAACCTGTTCTTGTTCCCAAACCAAAGCAAAAAAGGAGCTTTTTCAACCCAGAACAAAACACATCGGTACAGTACCTAGGCCCCTGCACCAACTGATACACCCTGTAATCCTAATTTGCTTACCCTATTATTTCATTGAGATAGCAATTGTCACATCCACTTCAAGAAACAATTAACTTCAGGGCAGTCACACTGTTCCGAATTTTCTACAAAGAACTCCTCAGAAGTTAGAACTGCTAATCCCACCTGTGTAAAACTTAAGGCCATGAAATCCTAGCCAACAACTTTTACAGCAGTTACCACTCCCAACCTTTGTTAAATGACCCGTTTTCAGTAACATGTCTATGAAAGGAAGTAAGCTAAATTTCAGTAGAAATGATCATAAAATCCTTACCAAGGATAGCCACTTAATGCAGCTATTAAACTTAAAATCACACCTTTGACAACAGTCTGGGCAAAAGAGAAGAGGAGATCAGTTGCTGCTAAGAACACATCAGCTTTAGGAATATAATTATACCTGTAGGAAGCTCTCCTTAGGAGAGATTCAGATTCCACAGACACAGTAAATGTGCTCTCCTGTGAGCTTGACTGGGGCACTAGTTTACTAGAGCAGCAAGATCTGAATCAGATTTGTCGAGGCAGTTAGCTTGGATGTTACAACACAAACTTAAATGTGTCCAGATTTTCACATATGAAGGTAGTGAGAGGGAAACAGGTTATTCCTTTAGCAATTCAGTTTCCTGCACACCTCTTTTTTTTTTTTTTTTTTTTTCCCCAGCCTATCTTTGAAGTACCTATGCTGTAGAAAAGACCTTACCTATACCAGTTTCATCAAATTCTTCCACGTCTATGACTTGGGGTTGCTGTGGGGGGAACTGCTGGACCTGGAACTGGTGAGATACTGTTTTTGCTGTAGGGAACTTGATGACTGTAAAAAGACTCAGTTGAAGGTGTTCCTGTTAGATCTTGATATGAAGTCAAAATGTCTCCTGCATCCAGCTGAGGACTGCTATAAGTAACAGGGTGCTGATCCTCTTCTGTGCTGTCTGTACTACTGGTGACATACTGCTGTCTTATTTCAGTGGAGCCATAATCTGACATAAATGGTTTTGAAGTCATCTCCTGGTTTTGTTCATTGGACTCTAGGCTCTCCAAAACGTTGCTGATCTTGGCAGGCACAATACTGTCAGATGTGCTACCGATCTCAAACACCCATACACCTTGTTTCCCAGCGTTGCTGCTTCTATCAAAGAAAACATATGCCAAATCAGAATGATCAAGCTTAAGTAATGTGACATTTATAGCCTACACAAAATGTTATCATTTAGTGAGAAATATCAGGATTAACCTGTTGAATTATCTTATCTACAGGTAGCGTTTATTCAGCTACAAAACACCCCTGACAGTTCGGATATAGCTTTTCCTCCATACCCATGGCTCTCTTCGGAGTTTCTAGCCTTCTTGTCTCCAAAGCAATGTGAAAAGAAGGAGATATTTGGGCCACAAAGATCTTGCTATCATTTACTAGAATCTTCTATCTCATTCCCATTCCATCTTGCTCACTTTTTCCTTTCAATAATGGCTGCCCAGGACAGATTACAAAAAGACAAAGTCTTAAGCAGTCCTATATTTGGAAGGGCTTCCACACAGCAGCTCCAACCAGTGACAAAGAACTTTGACAAATTAAACCAAAGTCTTCATATTCCTCAAAATGGTGGATATTTTTCTGTGGCAGATTTTTGTGATTTCTTATGCAAAGGCTAATGGGACCTTATTATGTGTCATTTGTGGCTTCCAGTATCTTAGTGGGGCCTACAAGAAAGCGGGGGAGGGACTTTTTAGGCTATCGAGTAACAACAGGACTAGGGGGAATGGGGCAAAGCTGGAATTGGGCAGATTCAGGCTGGACATGAGGAAGAAGTTCTTCACCATGAGAGTGGTGAGACCCTGGAATGAGTTACCCAGGGAGGTGGTTGAGACCCCATCGCTGGGGGTCTTTAAGGCCAGGCTGGATGAGGCTCTGGGCAGCCTGATCTAGTGGGAGGTGTCCCTGCTCATGGCAGAGGGGTTGGAACTGGGTGACCCTTGTGGTCCCTTCCAGCCCTGACAGATTCTGATCTGTTTTAGCAGAGGACTTTAGAGCCCTAACGACTCAATGGTTGCACTTGATGATCTTGGAGGTCCCTTCCAACCTAAAGGATTCTATGATTCTATGATTAACTCACGTTACAAGTAAGAAAAAACATGAACTCCTCAGTGTTTTCTTGAGTCTAAACAAACAAAAAAGCATACTTGTGCAGGTTTGTAATGCTGTCTTCATCATTAGCAATGACATTGTAGGATCCTGGCTTTTCCCAGAAGTAGTAGTTTGTAGAGGCTTGACTAAAGCCAACCATAGCAGGAATCCATCCATCATCATTCTTGGAGTATGTACTATAGAACTGTAAACTGTCTTCTGGGTAAAGGAAAATAGCATAGGAACTGGAGTCAGAAGAAGCCAAAACAGCCTGGAATGTGTTTCTCTGCAGAAAAAAATGACATACATTTATTCATGGAAAAATAGTCAAGACAGACAACAATACAGACAACATTTTGAAAAGCACAAAGTCAAAATTAAAATTTTCATCACATATATCACATCATTAGTTACTTTCTAGGAGAAATCAACCTTATGCAAGCTTATGTTTTGCTAAGACAGTTTTCACTTTAATGTGCGTAAACACTAAAAAGAAAGCATTATCAAGGGTAAGTTAAATCTGTTAAACAATAGCCAGAGAGCTGACCAAAACAAAAATTCTAAGTAAGTTCTGTAACACGCATAGGATGCTCTATCTCTTTAAAATAAAAGGACTCATGTGCTAGACTAAATAGAAAAATTCTGTAAACAGAATATTTAAAGAGCTCAAGTTTCAGGTTGCTGCAAGTGCCTTTTCCTGGAAGAACACTCCTACATACTGAAGAAACCATCCAGACAGTACCTCAGATACCAGCTATTCATTTCTACCAGAGTGCAGAATCATTACTGTGAACACAATGGTTGTGTCAAGTTAGGCACAAGAAAGTAATCTTTGACAAAATAAAATATGCTAGGTTGTGGTGGTGCTCTCAATTTTATACATTGTGAGCAGGCTCATTAGCTGGGATAATTATGGTGCATAAAGTTACACATCTTTGCAGGATAGCACATAACATGGTTTAAAAAGGGGAAATGCCTTGCAAGTAATGCAATAAAAATAACTTCTAACTGCTTCTTCACTCAGTACTGGCTACAAAGCATGACCTTTTTGTGAATGCAATGCCATCTGTCCAAATGGGATTCACAGTCTGAAGTTCCTATTGGCCCATACACCTATCAGATTTTAGATAGTTTGATGTCAAAATTACTTAAGCCTGTTGAAAAATGCAAGCCAACTGGATCATACTGCACAGATGGAGGGCAGGATAGCCTACTGTTCCCTTACTACCACATCACAAAACGTTCAAAGTAATAAATGAGCTATGCAGATTCAAGCATTTTCTTTTGAATTAATAAAATACTGTAAAATAAAAATAAAATTCTTGAAACTCCTATATTGCTACAGTCTTTTCAACAACAAAATACATTTTTAATTGTACAGGATCGATTAAATACAAAGGAGTGCAAGGCTTCAAAACAACAGGTTACAGTGTTACACTGCAGCTGGACATGTGTCTGAGGGCTTAAAGCTCACCTTTCCGTGATCTTCTCCTGGTGCCTGATAAGGAGCCACAAGCTTCCAGGTAACAATGACAGCACTGCTGGGATCAAAAGTACTCTCAGGAAAACCTCTTTTGATGTAGTCTGATGCAAGCAGCAAGACATCTGGGGATGAATCTTCTCTGTAATACACATGTCCGCGTCCATCTGTTGTGTCCAGGTCAGCCATAAAAGGAGCAATAGCCCCAAAACTGACTGGGAATTGGCCAAGATAATTTTCTTCACTTGAAGGTTCATTCACTGCAATAATCCCATTAGTTGCAACCTAAAAAAAAAAAAAAAAAGTGGAAATGATGAGATAGATGTTTTCTATGACGCTGTCTCCAACACCTACAGTCACAATATTTTCATTGCATTTCCTAAAGAAAGTAGTCAGAAGTCAGTCTTGTGTTTGTAAATGAAGTAATTTTTTTCAAGTTTTTGTTTTACTGTCTACTTTGCAGACAGACCAAACTTTTTTATACAAAACCAAGATTTTAGTTGGCTATTTAGATTTCAGACACATGTACACCTTTGTTAGAAGAGGCAATAACTACCACATTTCACAAGTTTCCAAGTCTTTCTCAGAACAAGACCCAGCACAACTCCTCCGTGAGTCTGTCAGGAATTTTGTGCAGACCCACCCAGATCACCAAAAGCTCTTTTGGCTTTTAGCTGCTACTCTCCTGCAGAGCAGCTTTACAACAGCATGACTGGGGACGGTAAGGATGAGCAAGTATTTGCAACAGTTACTTTTTTGGCTAACCAGCAAGCTAGATTCTTCCCTGGTGTGAGGCAGAGCAGACCACAAAGGAGCTGATCAAAGTCATAGCGACCCCCTGGGAATCTGGACTTCCACCATGAAGGCAGAGGAGGAGGCTTAATGTGGACAGTTTAGAAAGCTGCCCATTCCTAAGGAAGTCTGATGCCAATGGGAAAAACAAAGCAAAACAGCAGGGGTAAGGGAGAAACAGAACAGCTCTGTCTTGACCCATGTCACACACATGCAAGTCATGACACAACAGGCTCTATGATCCCCAGGAAAAACTGGTCAAGGACTCAGGGTACAAGGGGGTCAGCTGAGCTTTCCTTGCTGCTACAGCACTGTCTCAGAAGCTGACAGAACTTCTGAGCAAAGAACTCGTCTACACAAATGCTTGCCCAAAAAACTGCTTCATGCTTGGCATGTCCAGGTATGACAGCCAGACTCCCTTGGCAAACCAGAGCTGACTCTCACACAGAAGCAGCAAGCAAGACTAGGGATGTCAGGCCTCGAGGCAGTGCATAAACTGCTCACACTCAGCTTTTTGTCCCAGGTCCTTCTCCCAGATGTGTATGACACTGTATGAATCAGACACATACAAAGGTAATTCTAAGCATTTGACTACCTGATAACTGGAGTATCTGACTACCTGCACCTACTACTCTAGCGTGATATGTGTGTAGAACTTTTTTGGCTACACGCATCTTGGCAACATCCTTTAAAAAATCTGGACCGCTATTACTACTGCTACATATAGAAAACTTGAAAAAAGTGTAGTATGGGAACTGCTGCTACAAATCATTCCTTCATGTACAGCACACATCTATACTTTGATTGCTCCTTTGACTAGCCAGTGAGTCAGAGCATGCCCCCTGCCACTGGCTAGTGGTCAGTCAGCTTGGGTAATGGTTAGCACAAACCATTATCTAAACTTAGCAAATAGTTCACACGGTATATCAGAATTTACCTTAAAAATGGCTTGATGTATGCTCACTGTATGGTCTGCAGACATACAATTTCATTAATCGTTACAGTGAAAAATATTGTAAAAGTTAGGACTATATATAAAAAAAAAAAAAAAAAAAAACCAGAAAGTTTGCTTTATGCACTGTGTATCTAAGATATATAAGCAGTCTATAATGTGCACAAGCATGGTGGGAATGCAGGTCGTATTAGAAAGGGGGAGGAGAAGCTGAATATTCTGATAGTTTTTCTTCTTAGTGTTTGTGACTTAACAGTGGCCACAGATCTTATGTTGAACTATGAATTTTAGGAATAGGCCCCTAAAAAGACAGCAGGGGTTATGTCAGTCTGGATTCTGTAACTGCAGGCAGACACGTAACAGAAATCTAATCCAGAAAGGTCCCCAGAACTTTAATAACATGTGTACACTAGAAAATGCCTGGTATCCCTGTAAAGCAAAGCTAAAACTTACCCTAAAAACTAAAAGCCACAAATTATACTATACTACTGAAAGACAGTAGGGAATATGGTGGGCATCACAGTCTGCTTGCTAAGACATTTTAACAAGGAGATGCACTCGACCTTTAAAGTAATAAATTTACAGTAAATTAAAAGTTTTCCCCTTCCTTCTCCTTGCTTACGTGTTTTGTACACAAGCTCTCCTACTCCCACTCTAAATCCTCTTGTGAGGGATGACTGGTGTTTGAAGTATTTTAAACAAATTCCATGCTCTTCATCAGATTTGGTGTGTGCAGACTTTGCAGCTGCATGGCCCCCCATTTATGGCAGACATTAAAATAGTATCAGGAGAAAATACAACCAGGTCTAGCTAATACTACAGAACAAAGTAGAGACCAGAAGAAATGACCTAACATTTGGCCTTCCTCTTTTCACCTGTTAGAGGCATGATCCTGACTATTCATTTCCTATCCTGCTAAAAACTTAAATGTAACAAGTTATTTTACCCATCAGATGCAAAAATGCTAACCCTATTTTCATTTGTTTGTAGTTTATAAACGAGACAGTTCAGTTTTAAATGTTAAGGCAATGCTTGTTTGCAAGTACTCTAGCACCCAGAAAATATTTGCAAGCCATTAAATGATAATAAATACAAAAAATGCTCACTTAGCAAAGAGATTTTTAGTGTAAGGAAAGAATATTCATAATTACTGAAAAAAATGTTTTTAGTTTTCCGATTAGTATGGTTTAACTTTACCCTGTTCCCTTTAAGGTCACAGAGATATGTTAAAGTATGAACCCTAAAATAAAGAGAAGTAATTCTGGATAGGTACTGGGTTACTTAAACTATCATTCCCATCAAATAGGAAAAAAAAAAAACAACCAAACAAAAAAAACCCACACACTAGACCTTGGGTAGGTGTTGTCTAAAGACCAGCTGTACAGTACATCTTTCCTTTTAGGGTATAATATTATTTAGCTTGACAGGAACTAACACAGATATATTTTTAGCATGTTAAACTTCTGGATTACACACATAGCTAACATACATTTGTGGTCTGTAGCAGAACAAGTCATACACACTCTAGCATAGGTCCACCCTGAAAACTCAAGCCAGGAGCAGGAAGTACAAAGTAACAAACTACTTCCATTGGGGGAAAAAATAAAATAGATCCTGTGTGTATAACAATTAAAGTTTGAAGCAAATGAGGTCTTTTTCTCTGTCCAGTGATCAGGCGTTTTGAAGACTTGAATATTTCTGAGTAAGAAAGTTTAGAAAAATGAATTTTATTTGTATAATGAAGTGCCAGTTGACTTACTAAGACATTCTAAGACAAACATGACCATTTAGGAAGTTCCTAAAAGTAGCCATTAAAAAATTGATCCAAGCTTGCCTTAAAGGACTTAGATTCTTCCCTAAAAGGAAGTACTCCCCATCCATTAACTTTTCCACATCAGAGATACCTGGTGTAAACTAAAAAAAGCCTAAATAAAAGTGTGCTATTACAGCAAATAGATCAGTATGGGTTAGTGATAGGATTCAATGTTATAAATCTTGCATAGGAAAACATCATATTGAAGATTACAGTATGTGAAAGTCTGTTTCCACTTAAATTAAATAAAAGCTCTCTCTTTTGTCTATGAAAAGAAAATAAGTTTCATTGCCAGGGATTTTATGACAAGTTGATATTAGACAATCATTCCTCAGAACTCCTTGCCTTTTTATTCATGTGTAGAGATAACTCAAACAACTCAGCTCTTCAACTGTTGGAAAAAATAGTGAAAGAACCCACATACATTTTCAACTGATTGAAGGAAAAACTTTCAAAAATCAATCACTTAGAAATTAAGATAAACTTATCACATTATCCTAATGAGATACAAAAAGATTTTATCACAACTCAAAATCTGATCCAGGAATTCTTGCAGGTATTATAATGTATTTCTCCCAATATCACATTTACTATCAACTAGCAGCACTTTGGTAAATTCTGCTTACTAAACAATAACATAGAGTTTAAGAAGTACTCATTGCCAATATACAATAAAACCGTGTACTGTATTGTATTGAGCATCCTTAAATACACCTTCATGTTTCCTTAGCAGGTACACTTCTTTTCCTACCCCCATAGTTTGTACTGTGCTTCTGTTTTGCAATACTTGTGACAGACTTAATGCAAGATAAAAATCTCTGCATGTTATGTAGATTGATATTGAAACACATTCATTATCAGACTTGATGTATATCAAAATGGTCCATCCTTGGTACTGAGTAATCATGCTGAGAGAGCCCTAAAAGTGATTCTGGAATAGCCTCTATGTGGGTATTCTTCCAGATAAAAATTAACTAGAATTGTTCCTGTTTTATGACATGAGCAAGTAGCAAGACCATTAAACTAAAGACACTTAAGTGTTCTTAACCAATTTACTGTTCTTTGAAAACTCTGTCCCCTTTCTGTCACTTATCTGACAGGTTACTTGTTATCTTTGCTTCTCAGTGACAGGATACCCAGCCCACTATCTTTCAAGAATATATCTGTGCTTCAAAAAGCATTTCTTACTTGGTTTGGTCAATCAGTGACCAAACTTAAAGAGTATGGAAGACAAGACAATGAACTAAGGGTCACTCTGAAGTCTGAACTCCACTTAATACTTGCAAATTACTTCGTCTTTACTGCTATTCTCAGTTAACAACATCCATTTTCCACACGGGCATAACTTGAATCCCTTAACATTTTTTGATTTTGAAAGTGATTTCAGGATTTGTCTATGTAGGGGCAGTGTGGACAATGAGAAAAAGCACTGCTTAAGTGGAAACACTAGTATACTTCAGTGTAATGCAAACATGTTAAATCTTCATTGAATATCCATGAAAAGGACTCAAGTACACATGAACTACATCACATTTCAAATGACTGCAGCTACATGGCGGTCTAGCTTCCCAAGTGCCTTTCTGTATGTTAGTCCCCAAAGTCGCATCTTGGACCCATGGCGCTAAAACACATTGGTTTATCTGGACAGGGAGATGAGTTTTAACTTCATTAGATTAACGCACAATTAACACAATGAGTCCTCCTTCCTAGGGACTTTCTAAATATGCTGCTTAGCATCTTCAGCTGCCAGCCTAGATGAGGCTTCAGGGAAAAGAGGCAACAACAAAACAGTACTCTTGGAGTGTTCTGAAGACATGCTGCCATTTTAAACATTTTATTTTCTGGCTCCTCTCAAGCAGCTCTGCTCCAGACAATCTGTTTTCAATCCCACCTTCATATATTAAACGTCCTCCACTAGCTATAAACATGCAGACACAGCTCTGGGATGCAGACCCTGCTATAAGGCACGCACACACGGCTGAGGTCTGCCTGCAGCCCAAAGCCTGCAGCTGCTCGGGGCGTGGATTTCCCCTGCCCAGGAGACCCTTGATCAAGGAACGTCTGAGAGTGCCCAAGACACCGAGGGGCAGAAAGCACTTCAGGGCTAAGAGGGTCAAGTCCTGGACACGTCAGGCTGATGGTCAGAAGCTCATAGCTTCGGTTTTGTGACTTGGGCGTGCCGAAGCACACCAAAGAGACCACGACGAGGGTGTTTTTTTAGCTGGACATACACCCTGTGCGGGCGCACAGAAAATGCGTGGCCATGGCGGTCATTCAGAACAACCGATTCCACTCTTTCTCTCCTGCCTCAAAAAATCATGCAGCCCGACCGATTCCGCTCTTTCTCTCCTGCCGCATCGCCTCCCGGTACAGCCGGCGTGCACCGCGGAGAGCCAGCAGCACCCAGGTTGTGAGGCGGGGGGCAGCGCGGGCGCGGTACCCGCCGGAACTTCGCAGCGCTTCGGGTCCGCCTCCGCCCACGGCGCTCATGCAACCGACACGCAACCCGAGAGGCGCCTCCG